GTATACAAAACTGAAGCAACAAACATGGCCTTAAAGACAAAGAGGAAATCCTATAATGAAGGAAACCTCAAAAAGTGGATTTATAGAGTTGGAGCTTCATTGAAAAAGACTATAGCCCAGAGGAAACCCTCCTAGGAAGAAAACCTCAAGGCTAGATCATTAGAGCAAGAAACTTTAGCCATAACAAAACTTTGCATGAAAACCTTTATTGTTGAAACTTTAAGGATGGAGATGAAGCCACAATTTTTTTTCTATAAAAACATACTGTTACATTGTTATTACGTAGCTTCTTCTTTAGTTCTTTTCTTAGTATTTCTCTCCAAATGTATTGTAATATCTTAAGAGAGTATGAGAGGGAGATGTCTATTCCATATGCTTGCTAGGAAGATGATAAGTGTTCATCTTACAATTTTAGTAAATGCAAGGTGTTTGTGTTGATGATTGATTTAGAAAGTCTAATGAAGATTCCCACTAGATATTAAGATAATTAAGTTATCTAGATGTGAATGTTTCCTTTAAGAGACTTAAGAGAAAGAAGAGATGATAGGTTCAAGATAACAAAACAAAGAACACAAGATAGCAAAGACATCATAAATTGTGAAAGCGTAAAATGGACAAAAGAAGTAGAGGTAAATGGAATAAAAGATGGACAGACAAGAAGGGGAAGGGGAAGAAAGGTGGTCACGCCACTTGGAATACTAAGCCACATCTAAGATAAGTGATGGTGCTGCCACTTGAACCTTGGTTCAAGATAAGACTTAGGAGGTCAACACACATGTTAAAAAGACAAATCTCGCTAGGATATGCTCTAAGCCATTTTCATACTATGTTAAAAAGTGAACTTTAAGTCTAACTCAATCTCACAAAACTGACTTGTAAAGTAAGGTTTGCACATGCTTATATACTTTAAATTGACCTTATTACTAGTCGAAGTGAGACTTCCAACAAGAGGAGACTCTCTTAACTCCCTCTAGAAATAGTTGAACATAATAACTTTACTCTAATAAAATATTAAACCCTTTATAACGGGTGATGAGGTCATCTTAAATAGGCTAAGATAATAACCTCTTAGAAATAATACAAAGCATAAAGACTATCTAGCAAAATCTAAAAGTATTTTCTAGAAAATCTTAATGATGAGGAAGGGAAGAATATTCTTCACTCATTACAAAATCATCATAAAGTGCATTCTCTCTCCCCAAGTGCCTATGATGGCCTTACTCCAAGATGCTTTCCTTTTCCACTTCTAAAGGACTTATTAGCAAAAGTGAGAGTGTAGTGAGAAACACTCGCTTGGACTAAGCTCTTCCTTAACCCTCCATTCTTTTAAAAGGTGGCAATCTCAAAAAGGGGAGGTGTCACTAGCAATCCTACAAAACATAATAGAAACATGAGTTTTATTTTAAGACAAAAACTAAATCAAGTAAAAAAAGGAAGATGAAGAAACTTCCCTCCTAAACATGTTTATTTTCCTTGATCTCCCTCCTCCATCTTTGGTAGAGGTAAGGGCTCATCAAAAGATTACCAACATGAGTAACTAAACTTTATTGTATTAAGGTTCGATATAATCTACTCTAATTCTTTGTCCCACCACTATTTTATCTAAAATATTGTTATTATTCATTATTAATGATTTGGTTTGTGCTTTTATGCTTGGATGAATTGATCATTCATCTTATTTAATTAATTTGGATTGAGTTGAAAAATGGGTGTTGAATATAAGGTTCAGCCAAATAATCTAAAAGTCTTGCACTTAAAGCAAGAGTTCAAGTATCATTGTTATCATTACATAAAACCCATGTTCAAAATTCTTCCCAATAACAAAAAAATTTATCTTCAAAAATTCTCTTATTAGGTAAAGATAAGGATAATACTTTCATCTTGTCTTCTAGCCCTAATGTAGAATCATGAGTTTTTAAATATCCTATAACACTTTAATCATATTGATATATCTACATGAATTCTCTAATTTAATGATATTTGACTTTTATTAATCTAGAATCATAAGATAATTTTTTATATATATAAACTTCATCAAAATTATGATACATGAATCGAAATTTGTAGTCTAGCAAGATGAGGTAGCAAAACAATCTCATAAGTAACTAGAAAGCAACTAGATATATCTTATGGAAAATGTAAGACTTTCTAATAAATTTAGCAGTAAACTATATATATAGGCGAATCAAATATAGAAGAAATTATGGTTCTCCATAAGATTGACTAAAATCTCATTCATGAGGTGAGTAATGCAAAATTTAAAATTCTATTTCGAACTACATAGTTTAATTATTCTAGAAAGTTTAAAATGCACTAATGACCATAAATTATACATATAAAATCATATTTCAAGTGTTAAGCCAAAGACAATATAAATGTTAATTCCTCAATTCATTTATTATTACCTAACGAACAATCAATGATTCTAGACCCAACAGTTATACTTAAATGAGATTAAATTTTAGCATAGGCTCCTTATCAAAAAATTTATTATGTTCTGGACAATAATAAATGAAAGTGTAGAATGTACCAACACTTTTACACATATTAAAAGTTGAACTAATTAAGTGAATATTATTTCTCAAGTGACAAAATCAGCAAACTTTCAAAATGAAACACAGGAAAAATTCTAGAAATGGAGTTTGAATAAAGTTTTTAAAACTTTTTACAAATAAGTGTTTTGAGTGCTTTTGTAGGGGTTAGACGATTTGCAATGAGTGTTAAACACTTATGTGTTTCTAAAAGCGTTTTAGCAAAACTTTTAAAATTGAAAACAATAAGGAAAACTTATTTTTATACTGGTTTGCTCCAAACTGAGTTACATTCAGTTCTCCCTTAAGCACTCTTAAGGAGTTTCACTAATCTTTCAAAAGATTACACGAGTTTAACCACACTTGGATTTACAACTAACCCACCAATTAGACGAGTTTCACCACTCTTGGTATCTCATTAGTCTAATTGACTAGAGTGTTTAACTCCACTGAGTTAAACAACCAAGTGTTTTAATTCACTTATAAATATACAAACACAACAAAGGTGTTTTTACAAAACAAGTACATATTATAACTCTCAGAGAGAAGAAGGTTTCAAGACAAATAAAACTGAAAACTTGTAATAAAACTTTTCTTTTTCAAAGACAATGTTAGACTATGAGAGCTAAGAGAAAAAAGACAACATAAAGTTCAGAACGTATTCTTCTTATCTTTTCTTCATGCGATCCTTTTTATATAACTTCGAAAAAGATTTGTTACTCAGATCCATTGACTTTCTTGTAGGTAGGTTCTTTTGGTACGAAGTCATATGTTATGTGATTTTACAAAGATAACTTGTACGAATGAGCAAAGCGTAAAGCACTTAAAGAAACATTCTATAAAGTCTTCCTATCTCTTAACGGTTTGTTAAACCTCAAAACACCAGTTAATAAACGGTGTTGGCTTATTAGACAATATTGTCTTAACACAATACTTTTAACTAAGACTAAAACATTAAAAGTAAATATCTTAGGGAAAAAATTGAAATCACTCTAAATTCAGCTATGTCCTATTTGGACAAAATAGTTGTATAAGTTATGATAGGATTTTTTCTTAAAAAATGAAAAAAAAACAAAACAAAAAAGTATAGAAGGGAAAAGGTTAGAAAGAAAAAAGAACATGTGAATAAGAAGAAACATAAAAAGAAGGAAAAATAAAAGAATGGGACATGCCAGGTTCTTACACAAACGAATGCTTGTCTCTATCTTAAGTCATTATATAAGCTTTCGGATAACGACATAATGCCATCTTAACTACCATTTCCATTATTTTCACTAATCATATTTTTTTATTTATCTTTTTATATGTTTCCTTACTATTATTTATGCATAAATAATAAATATAATACTTTTCTATTCACCTAAGATGATATATGATAATAAAAACAACTATTATTATCTTAAAAACTAGAAAAAAGGTATAAATAGAAATAAATTTGACATTTAAAAAGTGAGGAAGGAAGATGAATCGTTTACCAATTTGTCGATAGCTGATTTGTCAACACCTCAGTGACTCATTAACTAACACAATCATTCTGAAAATTCAAGTCCAAATTAGGTTAGTCCACTTCACTCACATCTCAATTTCTTGTAATCAAATAATATATTCTTCTATCACTTAAGTTAGGATGAGAATAGAGATTTAAATACTAAGAAAGCGATTTTAGTGGGAAGATTCTATTATTTTAGTGCTTTTCTAATGCAAGGCACTATAATGTGTCAACCAATATTCATCATTAATATAGCATAGAATTTGATAGAGTAAAAATAGAAAAGGATAGTATCAAATTAATGTAAAAAATTTAAGTGTATTAAAGAATAATTTTTCTATAGTATATGTATCACTAGAAAAACGAATAAATTTTATGGATAATTTAAATAGATTGAAATTAAGCTAACCTAATCATTTAATATTTAAGCATTTAAAACTTCATCCTTTCGATAAATAAATACTCTAAATTTCATTTTCGTCCTAATAAGTCCTCAAACTTTATATATATTTTTATAAACAAACACCATAAATCTTACTTTGGTTAGGTTTATTGGACAAATTCATTTAATCCCAACTAAAATGTCTAAATTCGTTCATTTTGGTTAAATCAATACAAGAAAGAGTCTATTATAATACAAGTTAAATGTTGTTGCTTATCAATTTAACGATGTTTTTAAGTTAGTTTAACGACGCTAATTTAGATTGAACTTATTAAAATGTTTGCGAACCCAATTTAACTAAGCTCAATTAAGTTTAATTGATTAAACTTTTATTCTATTAATCCATGAAGAATTGATGATAATTACTGCTGGAAACCACTGTATTCTAAAGGAATAGAAAATTATTATAGTTTCTTCTGTTTCTATTTATACATACAATTTTTTCGGTTCATAGAAAAATGGTGTTACTCCAAATTTTATGGTTAGAAAGGAAGCACATGTTGTGTAACACGAGAATGCATAAACAGAATTGAAAGGGTGGGCACCAGAATGAAAGATAGTAGGAAAGAAAGGGAAATGCACAAAATAAAAAAAGCATTTTCACAAGTTTGTGAACCGAGTAACGTTGACATGCTTGAGAATTGCGTTGAGACAATTCTCATAAACTAAAACTTGACGTTGACACGATCATTTTCTCCATGTTGTTTCATTTCTCCACTCATTTTCTATGTCTTTTCTGTCGTTAGAATATCCAACCTCCCTGCAAAATCTTCTCACGCAATTTTTGTAAACAAGTTTGAGTCATGTTCTTCGCCGTGGTGTTGTTCTTGTGATGGAATTGGCATATTAATGTGTTGAAGGGTTATTCTGGGATCTAGCAGAGGCAGAAGCGTGTGGATCTCTGCAATTCCTGTGGCTTTTTCCATCTGGGTATAGTTGGTTTGTTATGGGGTGGAGATACAAGGCAGGATTGTTCCTCATACTTACTGTGGTTATCATATGGGTCACCTCTGCTGAAGTCACCCAGGTAAAGTTTTGCCAATTATATGCTTTCAAAATCTACCCTTTTTCAAGCTTCTTTAGGCATGTAATTTCAATGGATTTTGTTTGGAGTCTGGGGTGAATGCTTTCTAGATAATGTGGATATGTGTGTATTTTGTTGTTGTTTGTGGGTGTGTGTACTTTTCCATCGGGTGAAAATTATGTCTTTTCTCCTTAGGCATCTTTGGTACCAGCTCGATATAATGAAACAATTGTGGGGTTGTTGTCTTGGTATATAGGTATAGGACCTTCTGTACCATAGGAGTTAGGTCTAATGTTATAACGTGATGAACCATGGTTCAAATCCCCGCTAAGAAGGTGTCCGATTGTGTTTCAAAAAAGATTGTTTCTCAAGGAAAGACCCATGTGAAACAAAAAGGCAACATATGACGACCTGTCAAAAACACAATTAATAATTAGGATGATGTGTTGGCATAATATGCCTTGGTTTTGAAGGTTCCTAAATCATAAGATTAACCTTTGCATTGATACACTGTTTGAAGTTGAAACTTCACATGTCAATCTACAAACCTCTAGATGAGATTGGAAGTTCCATATGCAAGAATAATTTGATTGCAAAGAATAGCTAGCCTAAAACCATGCAGTCCTCTTGGCTTTGAATTTATGAAAATTGCAGACCTGCATTATAATGTGTCTGAGGGGACCACTATTCCCGGTTATATTTTGTGATCTTGTGTTTTAAATATGTTCATCAAAGGATGTTATGTATTGAAGAGTATGCTTGAAGATTTCTTATTTTAAAGTCGGTGCATTTACTTCTGTTATATGGAATTTCTATTTCTGAATCCATTATCTACACATGGTCAATTTTCTGTTGTTTGAAACTGTTAAAAATTGAGGTTCTTCTCAAGGGGTAACTTTTTATTGGAGATCAGTAACATGCAGTGTCCCACCATCCAAAAAGCTTTGTATGTACAATGCTTCTCAGTTATTTTTTTCGTACAGGATATTTTTATAGATTACAAGCAGCCATTTGCAGTAACATATCTTGGAGCTTCTCTTATGGTAGTGTACCTCCCAGTAGCTTTCATTAAGGACTGGTTTTATAAGTTATATAGAAAACAATCTTCTAAAACTGGAAAAGGTGGGGATGAGTTTGCTGTCCGGATTATGTCTCCTCGCAAGAGCAGTGGAGGGCAAAGGAACAGTGAAGTGGAAATGGGGAGCATGGCTCGAAAAGATAGTGATGCAGACCTTTCAATGAATGAAGAATCAATGCCATTGGTGGCTAAATATAATGATGCTAATGCGACAAAGGCAAACAAACAACTTACTACAAGAGAAATTGCTATTTATGGATTTTACATTGCACCTATCTGGTTTCTAACAGAGGTAGTTAACTTAAAATTGATATCTGGGGTTTGTACTTAAGCAGAACCAAATCATGCCTTCAACTAAATTATGTGATTATATCTTTTAACTGGTCCATGAGCTCCCTACTATTATGAAATACATGAACACCTACACACTTTTCAAAAATTCTAGCATGTCTTAATTTGGCTACAGAGGACAATAGAGTAGGTCTAACAAACTTCGTTAGGATGAATCATTAATAAACTTTGATACCATTTGGTGAATTAAACTTAACTAAACCTTACAAAATTCACTTAGCAGGTAAATTCTTTTTGTGTTGCTTTCAGTATCTATCAAATGCTGCCCTTGCACGAACTAGTGTTGCAAGCACAACAGTGTTGTCATCTACTTCAGGACTCTTCACTCTCTTCATTGGTGTGCTTATGGGGCAAGAGACTTTGAATATAGCAAAAATAGTTTCTGTCTTGGTCAGCATGGCCGGGGTTGTGATGACAACTCTGGGGAAAACATGGGCTACAGATGATGCTCTAGCAAATCCTTCGTAAGCCTTTCATATTGCTTTTAGAAAAACCACCTTCTTTATGTATTGTTTCTTTCAATTTTAACTGATAACAGAACTTAGCATTAGGTTGTAGAAGTTAGTTCTTTTTCTTCATATACTCTCTAAGCTTGTTAACAAAGTTCCTCAATCCAAATTGCTCATGTTTACCGTTTTTTTTCAGAAAGAACATTGGACAGTATCTTATTTATTCAGTTTCCAATTGCGTACATACATTGCCACCTTGATGTTGACCATATTGTTACGACTTCTATACTATGTAGGGAGTAGAATCCTTAAAGGGCATAAGATGTTAGGTGGAAGCTTATGAATTTCTTTATATCTCTCTCATAAATTATCCCTCTTTGTCTTGTATCACATTTTTGAGAAATCTATGTCTCCCCATTTCATTTGTGTATTAATGTAAGTTTCATCGATTATATAATAGAGACCAGAGGAATCAGAAAATCTGTGCAAAAGTTAGCTAATTGTTTTGGTCATATGCTGAACATTAAGGAATCAATTTGTTGTCTTTCATGTATTATCAGCTTCTTGCTCTCTGTAATACTATTTTTTGGGCGTTGACAGTTGATATTTGTGTTCAGCAATGGACAGCGCACTCTTGTTGGAGATCTTTTTGGACTTCTCTCAGCCATTACATATGGTCTGTTTACAGGTTAGACAATGTCTTAGCTTTTTGTTCATGTTCTTTTTTTCTTCTTCTGTATTTCTCAGATAATTTAGACAAATGGTGAGTTGGTTATTTGATCTTAACGTCTCACAGTTCTTCTTAAAAAAGCTTCTGGGGAAGAAGGAGAACGGATTGATGTGCAAAAGCTGTTTGGATATATTGGATTGTTTACACTTCTAGCACTATGGTGGCTTAGTAAGTTTTTCAACTAGCAATGACTCTATAGACTATAGTTATTGATAAATGTCTTGTTTGGAGGTTCTCTGAGTCCACTCCTTTTTATGTGCTCATTTTTAACTTTGATTTCTGTTATAAACTAAATTGCTAATTTCCCTGTATGTTTTTCTTAGTCTGGCCATTGTCAGCCATAGGAGTTGAACCTAAGTTTAGTATTCCTCATTCTATTAGAGTGGATGAAGTGGTGCTTGCCAATGGATTTGTTGGAAGTGTTCTCTCAGACTACTTCTGGTAAATGAAATGAATCTGACTAATTCACACATACATGCAGAGTTATCCAAACTCTTAAACTAGAGTTCATTTTATGTACACAGGGCACTCTGTGTTGTGTGGACAACTCCCATTGTGGCCACTTTGGGCATGTCACTCACCATTCCTCTTGCTATGTTGGCTGACATGCTGATCCATGGTCGGCATTATTCAGTATTGTACATTTTTGGCTCAGCTCAGGTACTGTTATGGCTAAAGATATATGCAACTTTTACGAGTTCAGGTTCTCTGCTGGTTTTTTGGTGCTATTCTTACATATATAGAAGTTCTTGCATATATTTTTTCTAAATTTTTAGTTTTAACTTGGCACAAGTTAATTTTAATTTATGGAGAAACTCGTTTCATTTTTCCTTTTTCTAAAAGTCCTTATGAAGAAACTTGTTACATATCAATTAGGAAGTTAGTTGATGTAGCTTCCACATGGCACATTGCTTTTTGTTGTTCTAGTAAATTTATATGTAGCTTATGTCCAATAATGTATGATTCAGTTTTTTGGTTCAGTAAAATTTACCATCAAATGGAGTATGTCTTCCACATCCATAATTCCTTGCATAGTTATGATTTACATGAAAGAGGTTTCATCCATAACCTAGGAAATAGTTTTCATACCATGATGTGATGTTTATCAACTCATGTTTGGATGACACAATCATCAAAGCTTTCAACATGGTTGTTCACATATTAAAGGATTTGTTTTTGGAACTGAGCTGCAGGTATTTGCAGGCTTTGTGATAGCTAATATTTCAGATAGGATATCCAAGGTGGGATTATAGCACATTCTTTCCAATACTGATTCTTTCTTTGGTTGGTTATCTCCCACCACTTACACTTAAATGTTATTCAAATGTTGAAAAAGCAAACAATGCCTTAATCTAGGGCTTTGTCATGTTCAAGGAAAGTAACAAAATTGTGATTTTCATGTAAATGGAAAGTGTTCAAGGTGAGCTTGTAGCCATGGTTGTAAAGAAGCAATTTTACATGGTGGCTACACAAGTAAATCAGGTCTTCAAAAAATTAAAAAATCACTAATATTCTGTCTGTGCAAATATTTATGCACTGATATCTAATTAGAAATCAAAAGGGTATGATTTTTGGAATAATTATATAAAATAAAGATATATAATATACTAAGAAAAGTTATTAAACATATTTTTTTTTATTACCATGGAGTATTTTCTGTCTAAAAGGGGGACTAATCTTGTTTGGATAACCTTATCATTATTAATAATTTATTCATACTGAAGCATTTGTTGTCCATTGTTAACACTATAATAAATATAAATAGAAATGAAAGAAAAAATATTGAAAATTTAAAATGAAACTTATTTTGAAACTTTTTTTTTCTTATATCATGGAATGGAATGTTGAAAAAAAAAAAAAGGTATATGTGTTTTTTTCCTCAATTTACTATAAAAACTTGTATTTTTCCTTTTATTTTGTGAAAGTCATGTAAAATATTTTCCTTAACAAAGAGCATGTGGAAATTATATTATAGTTTATTGTGAAATTTTATTTATCATATAAAAAACACTAGATTTATTATTTATTTAAAAGATATTTTACATGACTTTCCCAAAATGTAAGAATAAAATATTTTATAATTTATTTTATAAACAAAACACAAATTTTTATAATAGTTTGGAGATAAAAATACATATTTAATTCTAGAAAGAATGTTAATGTGAATTTCATCGTTGTATATTGTTAAAGTAAGTTATTCATCATGGATTTCTTATTTGCAGGAAAATCACATCCAAGATTTGTCAATAGGCACAAATGGAAAATGTTAACTAAATAAATCAACAAAGGTCTTGATAAAGAAGTATGTGAAGAAAAAGAGAGTTGAAGAAAGTGTCCATTTTTATGGTAATAGGTGAATTAGTGATAAAAGGGATTTTTATGCATTGAAGCCTTTTGGACAACAAAATTTCAAAGTCATGGTGGTTTATTTATCAATGCCATGTGAAAATGAGAGTTATTCAAAAATGTGTAACAAGAAAAAAAAAAGGCAAATGGAATGGCTCAAGTAGATTGTATATATAGGTTTTCTTAGTAAAACAAATATGTTCAATTTTTACTTTTATTGAGAGACATTGTAACATACTTCAATTTCAAATTATGAACATGATTAGTCAAGAACTATCAAACTTTTATTTGTTTTCATTTATAAAGTCTCTTGTCAAAAAGTTATTTGACATCGATAGTTACCATTTAACAACTTTTTATATGAGTAAAATGATCTCACTTTTTGTATTTTTTAATGAAAAAGAAAATAAATAATAATAAATAGTAGTATCTTATGGGTGTAAAAAAAATGGTGTAAAATATCAATGTCCTTTACATAAACATTTATAATTTTTCAAATACATCCAAATGTGAAACATCAAATCAATTTGTAAGCAGACAATATATTTTTCATTATCTCATTACACACAACAACTCAAACAAATTACAAAATCACAAGTAGCTCTTATAGGGTTTTTTCTTATCAAAGTTTCAACCTCACAATTGTAAGTTTTTGTTTTCAAACTAAAAATTTAATTACCTCGTTTTACCTTAATTCCTTAACTCCTCAAAGAATTACTCCAAAACCCAGAAAAATTAAGAAAATTATTGTATTTATATATTTATATATTTATTGTTATTCTTTTGAAGATTGAAAATACCCACGAAACCCCATTTAGCCATGAGTATGAATATATGATTGATAAAAAAAAAGTTGTCATGATTGTAGAACTTAAGAAAGGAATAAGGTATCCACTATATGTCCCTGTCTCAGGCAGGTGCCATTTCTATTTGTAAGTGAAAATGAATGAGTAAGGTATAAGAAGTTCAACCATCAGTTTGAGATGTTGCAAAATATTTGCTTTATCTTTTCTTCTTAACATTTTTTTATCTATGCTTTTGGATAAGATGTGTTTTCATATTCTCTTAAACATTAGTGTTTCAATATAATTAAGCTATATATTTTAATTCAATATTTATGTGTTCTGCATTATCTTATATTTGGTAGAGAATAAAGAAATAAAGAGAATAAATGTTAAAATATGGTTTGTTATGTTTGATAAATAAAAAAAGAATAAAAAAATAAAAAATAAAAGGTTAAAACCCTGAGTTCCTCATACTCAAAATCTCAATTCTATTCTCATATTTAAATAATCTCAATTGGATCCTATTTTTTACAATGTGATGCAATTTGATTTTTTCCATAATATACTAGTGACAGCATTAAGTCAGTATCATGTGTCAGTATCATGTGTCACTATGTGATTTTTTATTTTTTTACTTTTTTAATATTTTAATTTTTTTTTTCAAAAAAAAAGTTGTCACATTTAATTCTTTCATGTGGCAAAGATAGTGTGACGTGGTAGTGACAGTGTCACTTGTCACGATTGGAGAAAGTGTCATGTCAAAAAATATCAATTTAGTCCTTTTGTCTCAATTTTATCATAATTATTTTTTTAAAGATTGAAGCAATTTCATCCCTCCCAAAATTAAGACCAAATTTAAATTTTATATAAATGTATAATAATATTTTCATTAAAATTTAATTTTTCATCCCGACCCGACCCTTTTTAGCAGACCAATATCGGGTCAGGGTTAACCAGGTCAGGCTTAACCAGGCCTGGTTGGCCCGTTTTGCCACCTCTAATAAATGTTATAATTGTTCTAATGATATTTTTATTAATATTTTTAATAAGATTAAATTTATTTAAATTAATATTTTACATTGAATTTTATTCAAATTTTGTTTTTAAATTAGTTGAACTCAGTAAAGAAATATGTTGACTAGACAAGTTAACATGATGTAGTAAGACACTAGACTCCTACAAGCAGTAGAGAAGTCAAAGCAAAATGTTAGATGAATCAACCCAAGCACAACAAGATACTAGACGAGTATCAATATTAGACAACTCAAAGTAACTCCTTAAATTGAATGTTGAATATCCATACTAAATGAGTGCTTCCATTAAACTACTCAAATGGAAGAATGACTAGACGAGTAAACTCAAGGCACACATGAGATGAGTCAAGTTTAAATCATCAGATGGTGTGAAAAGAAATTAACAAATCACTAGGTGATACAAAGATCAAGTCCAAATTGATCAAAGAAATTTGAACAATAAAATTTGATTATCAAATCAATCAAGAGATTATCATATTATCAAAATAAAAGGATTATGAAGCAAGACTATTGAATATAG